ATATCTCAGGATTCCCAACAGGAAATGATACTGTGCAGACTGACTTGACAGAGTAAAGAAATGTATGTTTGTTGTTTTTCTAATTTACACTGTATTGTAACCAATCACAGTGTTTTATTTTTATTTATTTTTTTTCTTCTTCTTCTTCTCCCCAAAGCCCCGAAGTACATAGTTGCATATTTCAGTTGTAGGTCCTTCTGGCTGTGCTATGTGGGATGCCACCTCAGCACGGCTTGATGAGTGGTGCTATGTCCACGCCTGGGATACGAACCGACAAAACCCTGGGCCACCTAATCAGAGCGTGCAAACTTAACCACTTGACCATGGGACGTCCTCCATGGTGTTTTTATTTTTAACTAAGACGTTTACTAGGATTTACCTGGTTTATGACTCTTCCATTACTTTTAAGGATAACTGTGTCTTATCTCTTTCTGTCTAATATTACAAACTGCTTTTCCCCATATAGTTTTTGACAAATCTATTGAGGTATAAATGATATTTAAGTATTTAAATTGTGCAGTTTTCTGAGTTCTGACACATGCATACACACCTGCAACCATCACTATGATCAAAAGAAGGAACATACGCATCACCCCCAAATTTCTTTGTGTCCATCCCTTTCCTCCCTGCCTGTCATCAAGCAGAACTGTCATTATAGATTGGTTTGAATTTCCTAGAATGATGAATTCTTTTAGTTTTTGTTTGTCTGAAAATATATTTCATCACCTTTTTCCTTTGTTTTGTTTTGCATATCTAGAAATTTGCTTTTTGGCATGGGAGTCTTTTCTTGTTTTATTTTATTTTTTTCGAGGAAGATTATCTGAGGTAACATCTTCTACCAATCCTCCTCCTTTTGCTGAGGAAGGCTGGCCCTGAGCTAACATCCGTGCCCATCTTCCTCTACTTCATATGTGGGATGCTGCCACAGCATGGGCTGATAAGTGGTGTGTAGGTCTGCACCCGGGATCCAAACTGGCAAACCCTGGGCTGCTGAAGCGGAGTGTGTGAACCTAACCACTATGCCACTGGGCTGGCCCCTCTTCTCATTATTTTGTAGTAGCATTATTGGCATATAATTCATGTAACTAAACAATTCACCTATTGAAGTGTACACTTCAATGGCTTTTAATATATTCACAGAGCTGTGTATCATCATAATCAATTTTAGAACATTTTCATCACCCCCAAAGAGACACCTTATACCCTTTATCTGTCACCTTTCAACACCCCTGTCTCTGCCAGCCCTAGACAACCAAAAATATACTTTCTGTCTCTGTAGATTTGTGTATTCTGCACATTTCATATAAATGGAACCATACAATATAGGCTCTTTTGTGGCTGGTTTTTTCCCTTAGCATGATCTTTTCAGGGGTCATTCCTGTTGTAGCGTGTATCAGTACTTTGTTCCTTTTTTACTGCCGTTGTATTGACATGCCACATTTTACTCATTAGTTTGTCACGTGGATGAACATTTGGGTTGTCTTCATTTTGGGCTCTTATGAATAATGATGCTGTGAATATTTGTGTCCAAGGTTTTGAGTGGATTTCACAGCTTTTTGGTTATTACCTAGGAGTGGAATTGCTTGGTTATATGGTAACTCTGTTTAATCTCTTGAGGAACTGCCAGATGGTTTTTCAAAGTGGCTGCACCTTTTACACTCCTACCAGTAATGCATGAGAGTTCTGATTTCTCCACATCCTTGTCAACATCACTATTATCTGTCTTTCTTATTATAGCCATCCTAGTGGGTGTGAAGTAATATCTTATTGTGATTTTGATTTCTATTTCCCTAAAGGCTAGTGATGTTAAGCATATTTTCATCTACTTATTGGTCATTGTATATTTTCTTTGGAGAAATGTGTATTCAAATTCTTTTCCCTGGGCTTTTAAAAATTGAGTTATTTAAAATTGGGTTATCTGTCTTTTTATTATTGAATTTTAAGAGTTATTTATATATTCTAGATGCAAATCTCTTATCAGATATATGAATGGGAAATATTTTCCTCCTTTCTGTGTGGTTATCTTTTCACTTTCTTGATGATGTCCTTCAATGCACAGAAGTTTTAAATTTGATAAAGTCCAGTTTACCTTTTTTTTCTTATTTGCTCATGCTTTTTGGTGTTCTGTCTAAATAAATCATTGCCTACTCCAAGATTTCTCCCTATGTTTTCTTCTAAGATTTTTATAGTTTTAGCTGTTACATTTAGGTCTATGATCCATTTTGAGTTAATATTTGTACGTGGGGTAAGGTAGGGTTCACTTTCATTCTTTTGCATGTGGATATCCAGTTGTCCCAGCACCATGTGTTGAAAAGGCTTCACCTCATGTCTGGAAAATATTTCACTTGGTATACAACTCCAGAGTGTCATATTTTTTTCTTCCAGCACTTTAAATATGTTGATTGACTGTCTTCTGGTTTCCATTTTTTGAATGAAAAGTCTCCTGTCACTGCTTCTCTGAACATAATGTGTCTGATGTCTGTAGATGATTTTCTATTTTTTTTCATTACCACTGGTTTTAACCAATTTGATATGCATTGGTGTTGTTTTCTTCATGTTTCTTGTGCTTAGAGTTTGTTGAGCTTCTTGGATCTGTGAGTTTTTATCAAATTTGGAATGCCTTCATTCATTGTTTCTTCAAACCTATTTTCTGTCTCACACATCCTTCAGGGGCCCCAATTACATGTATATTGGACTGATTTGAAGTTGTGCACATTGATGCTCTGTACATTTCTTTCAATCTCTTTTTCTCTCTGTGTTTCATTTTGGAGAGTTTATATAGTTATGTCTTCGAGTTCACTAATATTTTCTTCTGAAATGTCTAATTTGCTATTAGTCTTATCCAGTGTATTTTTCACCTCAGCCATTGTTTTCTTCACCTATGTTCGATTCAGATTGTTGCTATATCCTCTATGTTTCTCCTTTACATGTTTATGCTTTCCTATGGCATCTTTAACATATGGACTAAAACTGTGTTAATGTCTTCGTGTAAAAATTCTCTCATCTGTGTCATTTATGAAAGTTTCTATTGATTGATTTTTCTTTTCATTATGGGTTGTATTTTTCTACTTCTTTTCATGCCTCATAATTTTTTATTGGATTCCAGACATTGTGAATTAACCTTGTTGGGTGCTGAATATTTTGTATTCTTTTAAATATTCTTGAGCTTTGTTCTGGAATGCAGTTAATTTACTTGGAAACATTTTGATCTTTTCAAAGCTTGTTTTTTTTTTTAAAGATTCTCTCCTGAGCTAACAACTGCTGCCAAACTTCTTCTTTTTTTTTTTTTTTGCTTTTTCTCCCCAAATCCCCCCAGTACATAGTTGTATACTTTGGTTGTGGGTTCTTCTCGTTGTGGGATGTGGGATGCCGCCTCAACATGGCCTGATGAGCAGTACCATGTCTGTGCCCAGGATCTGAACCGGTGAAGCCCTGGGCCACTGAAGTCGAACGCATGAACTTAACCACTTGGCCATGGGGCCGCCCCCTCAAGGCTTGTTTTTAAGCTTTGTTATAGTAGCTTTCAATCTTAGGCTGATATTTTCCCCTTTACTGAGCACTGTACCTGATGCCCTATTTATTACAGGTTGTCTACTCTGGCTGGTGGGAGCACAAGCTATTCTCTTCTTCAACAGTTGTTCCTCCTGTCCTCTGGTAGTTCTTTCCCTGGCTTCAGGTAATTCTTCACACACAGGTGCTTATCATTACTCACTTGAAGACCTGAGAGAAACCCTCTGCAGATCTCTGGAGCTCTGACTGTACAGTTCTCTCTTGTTTATTCAGCTCTCTTCTCTCCTGTACTCTTCCCTGAAAATTCCAGCTGACTTGACCTCCCCAAAGTTTCAAATCTGTCTCGTCAACAAGGAGGTCATCTGTTTGAGTTTCCTTTCTCTAGTTGTGGTCTGGAAACTTTATCCAAGGAGTAAGCGAGGGCAATCACAGCACTCACTTTATTTGCTCCACTTATCTTGGCTATCATTGTCCTACAGTGTTTGTTGTCCAATGTCTAAAAATTATTATTTCATATATTTTGTCCAGGTTTTTAGAGGTTTAATGTGGGATAGTAAACCTGTTCCCTTTTACTGCATCTTGGCTGGAAGCCATAGTCTTCAATAAATACTTTCCACCATTCTCTGGACTCAGAGTGGTTTCATCATTGGCAGTAGACTGAGTTCTTTCTGGTAACTTCAGTGTTAGACCTTCTGGATGCCCCTGGGCAGGCACCATGGGAAGTTTACAATGATATGTTATTATGCTGTCTTCTATTCTTTCAGATGTGTTTGTCTTGTCTTCTCAATCAGACTGCAACTTCTTTAAGATCAGGAACCCTCCATATCTTATATTTTTATGTACACCCTCAAACTAGACACATTTATTTTTTTAACTCTTACTTAATCTTTATCCAATGAAAATTCCATCTGAAATGTTAACAAATAACATGCTTGAGATTAGAATTTATGTGAAACATAATTGAATGCTATTAAAAATGAGTGCTGATTCATCCATTATAATTATATATCCTGGCAGAAAGAGTTACCACCACCACCCTCATTGTGGTCTGCTGAGAAATTTTTTCTGATTAACCACCAAACTTATTAATATCTAAAGGCAATAATAATAATAAAAAAGAATGGAGATAAAGCCCTGGAAAATCTACAAACTAAGCAGCTAGTTCTTCAGTAACTAACAGCTCTCATCCTTCGTATCAAAGCATATCTAAATATCAAAGTAAATATTAGTAAAGTAATATTAAATTAGATCATTTTGGAATTTTTCTTTTTCCACCAATGAATTGTCATTAATTCTACTCTAAATAGAAATAAGAAAAATTAAAATTATTTTTATCTGCTTTAATATTCTGGTAGTATATAGGAAAAAAGCACAGTGCAATTTCATTTGCTCCCTTCCCAACAAATATGCTCTCAATCAACAATGAATATATTCCAATAAATATATTCCAGGTTCTGTTCCCCATATTGAGGATGTTGCTGAAGGGAAGACACAAAATGCCTTGGTCTCATGGCATATTCCCTCTCGGTACTATTTATATATGGAGACTCTGTGTAGGTTAATAGTGTAATATATTTATAATATATGAGGAATCATATGTTCATCCAACAAATCATTTTTTGAGTACCTCATACATTCCAGACATTTTCCTAGGCACTTATGTTAGAGCAGTGAACAAAATGGACAAATTCCTTGCTCCCATGGAGCTTATATTTAGGGTGAGGGGCCATCAAATAGATAAACAAATGTCAGGCAGGTGGTAAGTGCTCTAAAGAAAAATACAGCAGGATGATGGGCGGGATGTTCATGGAGGGAGCTCTCTTCTATGTAGGGTGATATCAGGGAAGGCCTCTCTAATAAGATATGGAGTTGTTACAGACACTTGATGAGATGAGGGAACTAGTTAGCCAGGTGGACTGTTTGGGGGACCTGTTCCAGGTTCAGGGAAAATTGCGAGTGCAAATGCTCTGATGCTGGTGCGGGCTTAGTGAGTTTGAGTGGAACAGCAAAGCAAGGGGACAGTGTTAGGAAATGGGGCTAAAAGGGATGAGGGGGGTCAGATCAAATAAGACAGTGCAGTCCTTAATAAGGTCATTGCATTTTACTTAGAAGTGGTGAGTCATAGGAAGGTTTTGAGCAGAGGGGCGACGTGACCCAATTTCTATCAGGAGACAATCACTCTGGCTGCTCCTGAGACGACAGACTGTTGGAACGCAATGGTGGAAGTAGGGCAAACAGTGAGCAGGCTGTTGCAGGTCTTCCAGGTGAGAGATCACGGTGGTTCAGCCCTCATGGCCAGCAGTGTCAGCATAGGCGATGGTGAGAAGTGCTCAGATTCGGGATGTATTTCAAATGCTTATGCTGAGTGAAAGATGTCAGACCAAAAAGATAACATACCATGTGATTCCATTTATACCAAACTCTAGAATATTACAAATCACTCTATAGCAACAGAAGGTTGTTAGGAGACAGTCAAGAGCGGGGAGGGAGGGATGACAAAGGAGCATGAGGACTCTTGTAGGGTGATGCATATGTTAATTATCTTGATTGTAGTGATGGTCTCATGGGTGTATACGTATGTCAAGACTTAACAAAGTGTACATTTTAAATGTGTGCAGTTTATTGCATGTCAATTACACCTCAAGAAAGCTATTAAAACAAAGAGTGCACGATGTTGTCTGAGGGATTGGACTTAGAGTGTGGGTGAAAGAGGTGCCAAGAATGGTTTGTAAGTTTTTGACCTGAGCACCTGCAAGATGAGAATTAAAGTGCCATTTACTGAGATAAAGAAGACTGAAAGGAACAGAGTTTGAGAGAGAAAATAAAGAGTTTGGTTTTTAACATTTAAGTTGAAGATGCCTATTAGACACATCTAAGATTCTAAAGCAAACAAACACATAGCAAAAAAGAAATGAAGAATTCCTAAGGGCACTACACTTGAACCCTTGGTGACCTCATCTGTCACACATTTTCTCCTGATAGTGTGGGAACTACACAGGACCAACGGCACATCTCACGGCCCCTATAGACAAACAAGTGTGAGCATCTTTGTGAACATCCCATCTTTTCCTTTATTCAACATTGTGGATCGTATGGACGGGCCACAATCTTTCCTCTTGCTTTTAAAGAATCCAGTGAGTTTGGGAAACTAACTGGTGGGCCTGACTGGCGTTGGAGGTTGATGAATAACCTTAGCAGAGACGGCAGTGAGAAGACCCTGGTCACGGACAAAGCCCTCCAGCCCCGGCCAGGACATTGTAGCCACTCTTCCCTGGAGTGACTGTGGGCTTTGGCCTTTTCTTTTTTGCGCACATAGATAATTCACTTACGTTGTGATTTAAGCAAGATTTTGCTTCCCCTAGTCAGAAAGAAAGTCCAAAAATCATAATGTTGCTTGATAAAGGCTCTGCAGAGTTGTGATGAAAAGGGCGGGTACTACCTGGGTTTGAATCTTAGCTCACTCACTCACTAGATGTGTGAATGCCTCAACTGACTAATCCCGAAAATGAAGGTGGTTAACAGAATCTACTACTGTGAGGTACAATTGTTGTGATGATGCGAGGAATCAACACATATAAAGACCTTAGAATAATAACACCCACCAGGGCCTAAAGAAAACACTCAATAAATGTTGACTGCAATTAATTAGTTTTTCTCTATTCTGACATTGATTCTTGAGTTGTTTTTCTTGTCAATTGGTTTCCACTAAATTGTGGGCTTCTTCAGACAAGGACCAGAGATCTCGTCTTTTGACCTACGTCTTTCCCCACACCACCCTCGTGCTTTGCCCAGTGTCTGGCATGAAACGCTAGCATAAAATGGAAGCTCAACATATTTGTGTTGAATTAAATTACTTCTTCCCTTGTGATAAAGACCCAAGAATCTGAAGATCTCCCTACGGGGACCCACTGCCACCTCCATCCTCCAGGAGTCCAAAATAGACCAAGCCAGCCACCAGCTCTAATTTACATCACCAACCCAGTCACACCCCTTACTAATCAACGGGGATCATGGGATGGGACCCCAAGGAACCCCTGGGAGTCTGAAAGAGAGGGAGCCTGGAACCACAGACTAACAGTGGCAAATCGTGGGTGGGATTCGGTAGTTCAGAGAAGGAGGTAGTAAGAATAGGGCTGTGGAGGTGGGCTGGTTTGGGAAGGACCAGAAATCAGAAGTTGCGAGAGGGTGCCAGAAAGGACCACTCGTTGGGATGGCGCGCGGAGGATCCGAGGTCACAGAGACTGGTGACGGAGGACAAAAGCCGCGCGGAGCGTCAAATGTGAAGAGACGGGGCAAAGGCAGCTGATTGGACGAGGAGGGGTATATAAGGTCCCGGTTGCCACGGCAGCGATCAGAGGAGGAGGCGCCGGGAAGGAGGTCGGACCTCTGGTCCGCTTTCCTCCAGGACCTCCTCCATCCCCCGGAGAGCTGGCGCTGACGTGTCGGTCGTGAACTTCTCAAACCGTCCTGGTGTCGCCCCGCCCCTTGCGCTCCTCCCGCCCCTTGCGCTCCGCCCGCCGCCCTGCCGGCCGCCTCCTCGGCGTCGCCGGCTCCCCCGAGGTGACGACAACATGGCTGCGGCGGCCAGGCTGCTCTTCTGCCTGCTCCTGCTCTGGCCGCCCTGGCCGGGGCTGGGCCTGACGGACCTGGACACGGGCCGGCGCTTCTCGGAGCATAAACTCTGCGCCGACGAAGAATGCAGCAGTGAGTGGCGGAGGGCGGCGGCGCCGGGGGGCGCGGGGGCGGGCGCTCGGCAGCCCCGATGCCGGCTGGGGGGGTCGCAGGCCAGGCGGGCTGAGCGCCGGGCTAGGCGAGCCCCGCGGCCATGCGTCTGTCCCCTCCGGCTCTGCTGGCGCCCGGGCCAGCCGGCCCTGGCGTGGGGGCTGCAGTCCCACTTGTTGCCCGCGTTTGATTTTTCCTTTGCTGATTGGGGAGGTGGGGCGTCGGAGGTGGCCCCCGGTCTCCCCAGGGGCAGCTCACAGCGTCCGCTCCCCCGACCCGCCCCGACCCGAGGGGAGACGGGTGCGCGCCACGCGCCCTGGGCTCCCCACGCTGCATCCGAGCGCTCTCCTGCCCCCGCTGCGGGGAGCCCCGTGGCTGCAGTCCGGGGGCAGATGCGCTAAGGGCTCGGTGGGCGTATTCCCGGCCGCAGGTTGCTGGTGGGGCTCGTGAAGGGCCCGCTGGCGCTGCCCCTTCGCCCTTCTGCTTCACTCGGCTTTGGGACTCGTACCGCCTTTCGAACAGGGATTGGAGTTTAGCTTTGGGACGAGCCCGGAGTCCAGGCATGCAGTGTATTCCAAGGTCTCCGCCCCGGCTCTGCCTCCATCCTGTCATTTCTGTGCTTGGAAGTCTTGCAGACAGCCAGGCAGGGAGGGCACCGGGAAGGCCGAAATCTTTCGTTCTGGAAAGAGGCCGAGGATCTGCATGGGCCACCTGGGACCCGCAGCCTCCTTGTCTTTGCGCAGGAAGCGGAATTGTTCCCCAATCGGGGATTGGGGGTGAGGGGGTGGGCCGTGGGCGGTGAGGAGGGCAGAGATCTCAGACTCTGGTGAAAAGGATTATTAAAGTAGTAATAATAAAGACTCCAAGGGTTCTATAAAACCCACTAGCTTTAGCCTTAGTTTCTTGTGTTGTTGGAGTCTCTGACTGTGTCTTTGCTGGACCAGGATTATTTTTACGGACTCCCGGCCTGTCTCGGATAACCTTGTAACTTACTGATAACTGCTTCGGAAGCGGGTGTTGATAAGTTGTGATTAATACATATAGAAAAGTGTTCCTTCTGAAAAGGCCATAACCGTAGGTTCAGCTATTTACATTCAAATTGGTGTTATTTAAAAACAAATGTCATCATTTGAAGAGTTCGTATCACCGCTACACCATTAAAGAAAAGAAGGGAGGCAGTCTGCTCTGCGTGAAGCCATTCCTAGAGGTAACCCTAGGGCTGATATAAATGAACGCTACAAAAGCGGACCAACTTCCAGTTTTTCCTTCAGTTATCTCGTAGCAAACCCAGGTTGTTAGCAGGCAGGCTGGCTATGATGAAACGTTTGCTTTCAAGCACCAGCCTACCTGGGTTCCTCAAAACCAGTTACCTGGAGAATCACATCGCTGTTCCTTTCTCAGTGCGGAGACATGGTGTTGGAATGGCTTTTCGTTGTCATATAACTTGAGAAATGGCATCTGTCCAAACGGGCGTAACCAAACACAACAAAGGGCAGCCGGGGCAGGATCTGGGTCTGTGTTGTGTTGCATGAAGTGTTTAGTGAGGTGGGTGCGTGTGAGGTGTCCTTGTGTGCTTTTCAAATAGCTGTTCCACGGTGTCCATTTTGATGTCATCTGATTTATTATTATAAATCCTCAATGATCTCTTCTAAGGGGAAAAAAGAGAAACACTGCTATTGCCACTTCTGGTAGAATCCCTCAGCTTACACTGTCCATCACCTTCAACCTGGCCTGTCACCCACTTCTATCTGAATTAGGCTGCTGACATGTATTAAAATGATAATCAGATTTTTAGCTTTAAAATCCAAATACTCCCCTTCAAATCTGTATGGTTGTCCCTCAAGTACTTATTTAAAGATATGTTTTAATGTATTTATTGCTAATTGGCTTTCAGAAGAAGTATTTCCATTTCATCCTTCTTTTTCTCTGCTACTTAATTGCGTTTATCATCCATTTCATCTTACATCAGTAACTGTGTTATTTGGCCAAGAAAAAGAAAAATACTACTTCTACCAGTTTCTAGATCAAGTGTGATTTAAGTCTTGCATTTTAAGACTGAAGGTAACTACTGAACAATACTCATAGTTTTGCTTGTTCCTACCACATGTGATGTCCACTCTTGATTTTGTTTATAGGAATAAATAAGGGTAATTTTCCTTTGTTTTGAAACCTTCTTAATATTGAGTGCAGTCAACATTATTTACTTTCAGAAAATGTTAACTTTGTAATGTGTTAGGATCCATATTAGGGTGTGAATTCGTTTCCCCGTTAATTTATCCAGATCCTGTATGGAGAGAAAAACTTGGCCCCAAATGAAATTGACACTGTTTACTGCAAATGAAATTGACAGTGTTTACTGTCGCTGTGGTAGCAGTTACAGCCACTTAAAGATAGTGCTTTTTAGTGGTTAGTTCAAGTTAATTGACCCCTTCGGGGTTCCTGGGTGCTCTCCACAGTTCCCAGTTCTCTCTACATGTAGCCCAGCTAGTCAGCAACCTAACTTGAATTTTCCGAATTGCAATATGAAGCTTTTTATGATTATGAAACAGCAAAGATTGAAGACTAGAAGGCTAGGGAGGGAACCAAGAGTTTCACTTGAGACCAGCGTGTGTGAGGGTGGACACATTGCTTTTTGTTTCTCAGCATTAAACGTAGAGAAAAACAGGGAAGATTTCCCTCTCCACTGTCTACTTGGCTGGGGATGTCATGATTTATAATGATAAAGCTTTGAAGATTTTAGATGCTTTGAGCATATGAATTGGAAGTAATTGATTCCCGAGAGTGGAAACTGGAGAAGCTTGATTATTGTTTACAGTGGATTCTTAGACTTCCTGATAAAATCAATATGGACTGTGAAAGTTGCATCCTGATATCTGGTTATTTTTTTCTCTCTCTTCACATACAGTGTTAATGGTCCGAGGTGAGGCTCTGCAAGATTTTGCAGGCCCGGATTGTCGTTTTGTGAATTTTAAAAAAGGAGACCCTGTATATGTCTACTATAAACTGGCAGGGGGATCGCCTGAAGTTTGGGCAGGAAGTGTAAGTAAAAAGTCGACGTCCTTTCTTTTCTTACATTTTATCAGCTTAACACCGTAGCTTTAAATAACTGTTTTCTTGGAATCTTTGATGGAGTGAACCTGTCCGCTCTGCCAGGCTGTGGAAAAAGAAGATGGCCCTGTGTCCCCAGCAGGTGTCAGGCTTGGCACGGAGTAAGCGCTCAGCAGAGGTTTCCTGAACAGAACTGAAGTGCTGCTCACTCCTCAGCATCACCCTCTAGGCCTCATCAGCCACGGATGCTCCACGCGTAGTAAAGGGTGAAATGGTGAAACCTGGAAACCCTTAGCTTCATTCCTTCAAAAAGAAAGATTCGTGGGCATTAGACTTAATCCTAGAAACTGTGTGCAAAATAGTGTTCCAGGCATTCATGGTTAAAGGTGATTTTACTTGTATTTTTTTTCTAAATTATTAATATTTGTGAAAACCTGGCAGCTCTGAGAACAGTTACCTAATCATGCATTTCTTTGCAACTTCTGGGTCATCCTTTCCCTGCTTTTGAGGCACTTGCTCGAAGAGGTTCCCTGAGTGGCATTCTTCCTGATGTCTGACATGGAAATCAGTGAAGGCATCATGCTTTGATGTTTTTACTGAGGAGATCCCCTAGGAGTGACCTGGTAGAGAAGCTCTGAGTCATTGCCCTTTCCTTTTTATAAAGTGTCGTGTGTGGACTGTTTGTTTACTGAAAGTAGTGGGTCCTTGATGTCCTTAGGGTTCTCCAAACTTAGGGTAATATCCAGTCCCAACTGAGAAAACTTTCACTCTCCGTAAAACACCAAACAAACGACAGAAAATAAGGCTTGAGGAGCCGGCCCTGTGGCCGAGTGGTTAAGTTTGCGCGCTCTGCTTTGGCGGCACAGGGTTTTGCTGGTTTGGATCCTGGGCGCGGACATGGTACCACTCTTCGGGCCATGTTAAGGTGGCATCCCACATGCCACAACTAGAAGGACCCACAACTAAAATACACAGCTATGTACTGGAGGGGTTTGGGGAGAAAAAGCAATGCAAAAAAAAAAAAGAAGATTGGCAACAGTTGTTAGCTCAGGTGCCAATCTTTAAAAAAAAAAAAAAGAAAAGAAAAGGCTTGAGAAGCCTCCATAGGGAGAAATAGATTCATTTTGTTGGCATTCGAGATTCCTAGGCAGGAATCTTGAAAGGCTGGAGGGTCAGGTACAACCCTTGTTTTTAGGCAGAATCCCATTTGAATCACTCTCTACGAAGAAGAATCTATTCTGTTGCCTTCAGGTCCACCACATGAGATTTCTTGCTAATCTTTCCTCTTGGGGAGTCTTTTCCATGTACCTAGGCTGCATTTTTCCTCTAATGGTGAAGTTGGAGCATTTGGAGACGTGAACTCGACCTGCAGTTTCCTTCCTCCGCCCTTGGGCTCATGACCATGTTCACCTCTAGAAAGCCTGCCAGTCTTTCTGAGTCCCCACTTGCCTCCTGCCTTCTTAGGGAAGCACTTTCCTCAGCTCCCAGCCAGAAGGGATTGTTGCTGTCTGATAATCGTTTCGGTGGCACTTTGCACGCCCTGCTCTTGTGGCATTCTCTTACTGCTTTCCTTACAGTTCATTTCTGTGCTGTCTTAGCTGCTATAAAGCCAAGAGCACTGGAGTGGAAAGGCCCGTGTCCCACCCATCTTCCTTCTGACCATTTCCCTTCAGGGCATTGGCACTTGTTTACATTTGTCCTGATAGTAGCTTATGCAGAATTTGTCCTCTGGAAACAATATTCTCCTTTTTTTTTTTTCCAAGTTCTTTGGCAGGGATGATATATGGAAGCAAAATTAAATAGAAAGATGACTTCCAGGCGTGAAGGCCCATGATTCTGCAACGTGTTTTTGTCAGATCATAAGAAATGGACACTACCGGGTATAAAAAATATGGAGTTTTGTATGACCTATGGTCTCAATTAACTAAGATTACACAAAGATCAGTGTATTTCCTCTCTCTACATATCTCTGACTTCTTTCCCTTTTCCAGATTCTCTCCATAAAATTTTCCTGAGAAGGAAAAAAGTTTATTTTTTCTCCTCTCTCATTTCATGAACCTTATACTTTAGGAAAGTAAAAACTATCTCCTTTGCTTTCAAAATGATTCTTGCTGCTGTTTCTTAGTTTATATCCTGCAGTCTTCTTTGGTTTCTTAGAGTTTCAGACTTTAACTGCCAGTGTGGCGGGTTTTAATTGCCCTATCTTATCTCATCCTCAGGACAGTATTCTGCTGTTTATGCTGGCTTTCAGATAGTTCCTGGATACAACAAGAGCACTTGTAATGAGGATATTTTAGGAGTTAGTGATCAGATAGCCTTTTTCCTTTCTTTTTGTGCATTTGATCCGCATATCAGTCTCCTTTCATGATTGGGAAGAGATCTACCTGCTCCCTTTCAGACTGTAGCTAGTAAAAGGCAGTGTGTGTTTCTCAAGAGAACACACTTAAAATACCTTAGCTGTTAGTACTGTAGATAAATGGGGTTATCTTCTATAGAGTCTTATTTTGCAAGAAACTAAAGCTTGGTGTGTAGATTACTATGAATTTTATTTTCTCCCCAAATCCTTAAAAATCTAGTCTTGTTTTTGTTTTTTGCTGAGGAAGATTCACCCTGAGCTAATGTCTGTGCCGGTCTTCCTCTATTTAGTATGTGGGTTGTTGCCACAGCATGGCTGACAAATGGTGTTAGTCCATGCCCAGGATCTGAAACTGCAAACCTGGGCCACTGATGCTGACTGCACTGAATTCAACCACTATGCCACAGGGCTGGCCCCAGAAAATCTAGTTTTTGAAAAAGCTGGTATAGCCCATAACATCAGTAAACATTTACCTTTTGTTGTAGTGGTCATACATTTCAGGAATTTTGTATTCTTTTCACTTATTAATTTTCATGGCTGCTTTTTATTGTTTTAAGAAAGACTTGTAAGTGCTAGTTTATGAGCAATGCTGTGAAATGTGCAGGTAAGTGCTTACGAGAGGTTATTTGGAATTGTGTTTTTAACCAGCTTTGATTTGCATAGTTTCAATCATATAGTGTACAATAATCGTCTCCTATGCAGATCTGTTGTCTACTTCAAAAATCTTCCTCTGTTAGAATTACACTGAATGTTGAAAGAAAACTTCCGTGGTTTTAGAAAAGTTGGCTTTATAGTATTGTGTACTTAAGCTTTATTGGAATAATAATCTGTGTAAACATAATAGCAACTCTCTCTCCTGGTTATATCTACCTATCTGTCTTTCTGTGTATTTCCTCTCATTATTAAGAAGTCTCTCATTTATATTTTTTGTATAGAATTTTCACTGATTTTTTAATATTATATTTATATTATATTATATTTATATTTATTTCTTTTTGCTCATTCTTTCATATAGGTTGGACGAATTTTTGGATATTTTCCAAAAGATTTAATAAAGGTAGTCTATGAATATACTAAAGAGGAGATACAAGTTCCAACAGATGTAAGTTGTGGATTGTTGTTTTTGGTTCTCAGTTATAAATTGGCTTATAAATTCATCAGTTATATTCAATTAACTATTTTTGAAAGTCTTTGAGTGTGTTTTGATCAGGAAAGAAACCAAGTTAATATTTATCAGATTTTAATTTAGAATCAGATTACCTTTAAAAATAGAAAAAGAAGAGAAGTTTGAAGAGAATTTACAGGAGACTGTATGTCATAATCTGGTGGTTGTCTAATACATCGGAGCAGGTGTGCTTACACAAGGCCGTGTACTCTTCTTAAGTCACACGCAGCATAACAATGTCTTGGTCAACGATGGACCACATGTACGATGGTGGTCCGTAAGGTTAGTACCATATAGCCTTGGTGTGTAGCAGGCTGTCCATCTAGGTTTGTGTAAGTAAGTACACTCTGTGATATTCACACAACCATGAAATTGCCACAAACACGTTTCTCAGAATATCCCAGTTAATGCATGACTGTACAGTGTTTTTCTTTGCTGCTTTATATGAGAAAAAATGAAGAATTAAATATCTTTGTATTTATTAAGTTTGAGGTAAGTAATTCTTTCTACAAGCTAAAGGAGAAAGTGTCTCAATTTGAAAAGTACTCATTGAAAAGCTACTAGACATTTTAAGTATATAGAAATCAGGTTAAATTAATCAAACCTTAATTATATACTTGGGCAGAAGTGCAGATTTACAAGAGTTCTCTTATTATTGACTCTTTAGTTATTTGAGGTATTATAGTTATGTTATAGATTTGGAAAAGGGAACCCGAGAGTTTCAGGTGGGGCCAGGTCCCCAATCTGCAAGCTACCAAGTGCACATTCTATAAAGCATTCATCCACAGACTTAAAGTAGCTTTGTGATGACAAGGGTTTTGTGTTCTGGGATCCTCATTCCAGCCGATCATTTTCTGGAGTTTTAATATGTATAGTAATTGATGCCCACCTTCATCAGAAATCTTTGAGCGGCTCTTTGGAGTTGCTGCAGAGCACGTGAGCTGCTGGCCTGGGGCATCGATGAAATCTCAGAGCCATTGCTGTTTTTCAGATGTTTTGATAAGCTCAAGGGTCATAAAATCAGCCCTACTGCCTGCTTGGCCTCACTCCTGGTGAAGAGACCGCCCAGGATATACAAGTGACATGGCAGTTCATTCATTGGTCACAGAGACCTCACTTTTTAGGGATTCTGCCTTCTCGTTGCACATCCCACTGCAGGCTTCCCTCAATTCAAGAAAATAGCTTAGAATTGCGTGTGATGAAAATAGGGAATCACTCATCCTGGCTGCACTGGTCAGGTCTCCCCAGAGTATTGTGCAAGTTTAGTTAGGAAAAGAACATTTTCTTTGTTGGTTTTTCTCCCCTTTGTTTATGGACTCCTTTTATGTCAATTTAATAGTGGAGGAGAGGAAGAATATAGATTTAGGGATAGTCCTGAAAGCACATCTTGATGACACCCAGAACCATGATTTAGAGTAGAGTATATCCCTTACTGAATCTTATTTTCAAGTTATACTTGTAATAATTAAGTGGGGAGCCCCCTTGACACCATTCATTGTCCCTTTAAATTTTTACTTCTCCTGCACCTGTATTTCAATAAGGTGCTTCTTAAGCTGATTTATCTTTCCCCATCCAAGGAAAATATGACCCAAAAATCTCTGTAGACTTACAGCCTGACAGCAAGGTGATTCTGCCTTTTCTAGGTGAATAAGCAGAGAAGTATAGAGTAGAGGGCAGGATGATAGAGAGGCTGATGGTCTTCCAGCTTCACCTGGACAAATTATTATGAGATGAATTCCCAGGACATGAGGCATAGATGTTGGGAGTTGGGGGTCCCAATAAATGATACCCAACTTAGGCTCAGAACAAATTAAGAGACCCAGGAGTTAGGCAAATGGAGACCAAAATGTCACCATTATTTATTGGTAAAGGTTTTTGGAGGACATGACTCAAGTGTGCAGAAATAATGGGCTTTTAAACATTGCAGTCCAGAGTAAGACAGACTTACCCAGACACAGGCAGAGCTAGCCAACTGGTGGCCTCCCCAAGGGGACTGCCCTTATAAAACCAACAACATGGAGGAGAGATGTTCCTTCCAGCCAGTCATAGGCAGGAAAGAGGATGGTGCAGAGCAAATTCGTTAGCCACATAAATCGGTCCTCCCTGGGGAAGAGAGAATGAAGGGAAGCCAGGGGCGTTAGTCAGGTAGGAGTCCTTCTTCATGGAAGCAGGAAGCCAAGGAGAAGTGGGTTCCAGCCTCCTTGTCCCGACAGCTCAAGAGCAGTCATTACCCAAGGTGAGCACAAAAGCCCCTCTAGAACCAATGAAGAATTTGAGATGATCTCTGTCATTAGCGTGGCTAAGAGTTTGCCTTGTGACACTTGGTTAGTCACACACTCATGTTTTTCTTTCCCTTACAGGAGACAGATTTTGTTTGTTTTGATGGGGGAAGAGATGATTTTGATAATTATAATATAGAAGAACTTTTAGGATTTTTGGAATTTTACGATTCTGCACCCGAAGATTCTGAAAAAGCTATAGAAGAAACTTCCCAGCATGTGAACAGACTTCCTGGGGTGTCTGAGGAAAAGAACCCTGACACTGAACCAGTAGAATCCAGCTCAGAGGACAATGAAGGTGTCTTCTCAGAAAACACTGAGGAACTCAGGGGAACACCTGAGGCTCAGAAGAGCTACCCCCATATAAACGGTCCAACAGATCCCGCCCAGGGAGAACGATCTTCATTTGAACCTTTTGAAGAAATGCTGCAAGATAAATTAAAAGTGCCAGAAAGTGAAAACAACAAAACGAGCAATAGTTCTCAGGTGTCCGATGAACAGGAGAAGATGGATGCTTATAAACTTTTGAAAAAAGAAATGACTCTGGACTTGAAAACCAAATTCGGTTCAACTGCTGACGCATTGGTATCTGATGACGAGACGACCAGACTCGTTACTTCATTAGAAGATGATTTTGATGAGGAATTGGATGCCGAGCATTACACAGTTGGGAAGGAAGAAGAGGAGGATAAAGAAAACTTTGATGAGATACCGTTGCTAACCTTTTCAGGTGGAGAGGATACGAAAACTCCGGTGAAATCTGGAGCTGAGAAATACTCAACAGACAAAGAACAGAATTCACATGAAGAGCGTAAGGTTATGGTAGCTCAGCCCCCTGGCATGAAAAACGATGATAAGAATATACTAACATCCTTGGAGGATTCCAGCCTCTTTCTTGCCACAAAAAGTGAAGAACAAAGAGGTGTGGATTTAGAGAGTTCTGATTCCAAGGAAGAAAAGGAAAGTGATGATGCATTAGTCCCAGAGAGCAAACAGGTCACACCACGGTCAGCAGCAGATTATATTGACCCTGAAAAGGCAGAAGATGGTCCCTTGATTGTAGAGGTCTCTAAAACAAATAATGACAAAGACCCGGAAATGGACCCAGAACTCCACATTAAAGAAAAGAGGAAGGTGGAGGATTCCGGGAGGGGCCTGGTGCAGGATGAGACGGGACTAGAGGATGCCAAGCCAGAAGGCATGACCGTGCACAGGGCTCCTCAAAGCAGTGACCTCAATGCATTGCCAGCTGCTGAAAAGGGTAAAGAAACATTAAAATCAGGCTTTGACCACAAAGAAGATGACCTGAAAGGAGCAACTGTAGATATCTCAGAAGGAACACTCCAGGAAGAAAAGCCTGGAGAGCAGATTTTGGAAGGTGGCTCAGAGAGTGGCTCGGTACATACAGCTGCAGGGAATCCAATGAAAGAAGGGAAGATTGAACAGGAATCCAGGCATAGTGCACCCCTCGCGGGGGATAACCAGCATAATGCATCCAAAGACAGTGTGGAGGGTGGAGATGTTCCAGCAAGTGGACCAAAACCACCCTCGCTTTCAGTGGAGCATCCACATGAGAAACTGAAAGAGGAAACACTTCTTAAAACTCAAAACCAGCCTCGATTCTCCTCTCCAGACGAAATTGGTTTGCCAAGAGAACTGGAAGAAGGGAGTCCTGTTCTGGGAAGAAATCTTTCCCAGCAACAGGGAAGAGATGTGGCTGCTGTAGTTAATAAGGAAGCAAATGAAAAGATAAGACGCTCTGAGGAAGAGGTCAAACAGGACCCCTCAGATGAAGACTTTGTTCACCGCAAGCCAACGCCGGGCATGCAGGAAGTGGAAACAACAGACCAAAATGATAGCGCGGAAGTACCGGATTTCCTTGATGAAGAATGGGAAGCAGAAGATGACGATTACGCTCCTGAAGAACTACTGGAGGATGAAAATGCCGTAAGTGCAGGAGAGTCTAAAGAAGAAAGCCCTGTGATTCAGGACAGGCAGCTTGATGTTAATGCGCAAGGCCCCGAAAGAGCCGTTTTAGGCGCTGTGGATGCTGATCCAGAAACCGAAGAAAACAAAGAAGAAACTGGTAGCCTTTTAGAAATTGAAAGAAAAAATGAAACTGTGGGCGAAATAGACAGGAAACCTGGTCATATGGTGGTGGAAAAAGAAGGCGGCCCTCTGGTAGATGAGAAAGCACAGCGGCCATCTGAAGGCAGTGACTTTCCTGACAAGAAAAAAGATGAGACTCCAGAGTTAGGTGAAGTGTTTGAGGATAAAGATCCTGATTATTTTAAAGAGGACAGCCCTGAGGAACACCTGAACACCTCAGGGCTCACTGAGAAGCCTGGGGGAGAAGAAGTCTCAAAAGAGGACCGTGAGGACTTAGAGAAATTCATGGACACAGAACGCCAGGGGTCTGCTTCTGGGGAACGCGAAGATGACGTGTTCCACTGGCCTCCCCACTGGACCGCAAAGCCCAAGCAGAGTGACAAGATGAAGGACGCGCCTATAATAAGCAGCTTCTTTAAAGAACCGCAGTCTTTGCAGCGGTTCCAGAAGTACTTTGACATCCATGAGCTGGAAGCCCTCTTCCAAGAAATGTCACTAAAGCTGAAGGCAGCCCAGCAGGAGAGCCTGCCTTATAATGTGGAAAAAGTCCTAGATAAGGTTTTCCGTGCATCGGAGTCCGAAATTCTGAGCATAGCAGAGAAAATGCTCGATACTCGTGTGATCAAAAATGGAGAACTGGGAGTGAAGGAAAGTAACATATTTGAAGAGGCCGCGGTGCTAGATGACGTTCAAGACCTAATCTATTTTGTCAGGTACACACACTCCATAGCAGAGGAGACTGTACCCCCGGCAGCAGCACGGCGTCCAGCGGAAGACTGGGATAGACTGATGGAAGGTAGAATGCCTGTCTATGGCTTTGTAGAGTGGGGCTTGAGAAGCAGGTCGGGGAGGCTTGGCTGAAGTCCCTCACACCTTTTTGTAAAGCTCTGTCCACAGTTTACAGTGTGCCCAAAGGCAAGAGACAGCACGGTGACACCCACAGGTCCCTTCCTGCCTTCTTTCTTTAAGGCTAGAGCACAGATAAGGATTTCTATCCTGGTTTCCCTGTACGACAGTTGAAACTGGTGGCCTTTTCAAAAGGAAGCTTTAGGGCCCGGCCCAGTGGCTGAGTGGTTAAGTTTGAACTCTTCGCTTTGGTGGCCCAGGGTTTCACTGGTTTGGGTCCCAGGCGCAGACATGGCAGCACTCATCAAGCCATGCTGAGGCGGCGTCCCACATGCCACAACCAGAGGGACCTACGGCTAGAATATATAACTGTGTGCTGGGGGGCTTTGTGGAGAAGAAGAAGAAAAAAGAAGATTGGCAACAGATGTTAGCTCAGGGCCAATCTTTAAAAAAAAAAAGAATAAAAATTATTTTAAAAAAAGGAAACTTTATAAAAAGACAAAGAAAGATACAAACAAAATGATGTGTAAAATAGACCTCTTAAAGTTCAAGTTTCATGTAAAATTATCAAAGGGCTTTTGCGAATGCTGTTTCTTTTTTTTTTTTAAAGATTGGCACCTAAGCTAACAGCTGTTGACAATCTTTTTTTTTTTCCTTTGCTTTTTCTCCCCAAATCGCCCCAGTACACAGCTGTATATTTTAGTTGTGGGTCCTTCTAGTTGTGGCGTGTGGGACGCTGCCTCAGTGTGGCCTGATGAGCGGTGCCACGTCCGTCCGCGCCCAGGATCCGAACCAGCGAAACCCTGGGCTGCTGAAGTGGAGCGTGCAAACTTAACCACTCGGCCATGGGGCTGGCCCCGGAAGGCCATTTCTTAAATCATAAAATAACTGCTGTCTGTCCAAGGGTTGACGGGCACAACTTTTAAATCAAAGCCTTTCAAGAGTTTCATTCCTGCCAGCTGTCCTCTTTTGTGGAGGTCATGTTCTTTCCTGGCTCTTGTGGGTAGTCTGTTGGGTCAGTGAAATTCTGCTGGGCGTGAGGGTTCTTGCAGATTAACCAAGGATCCAGCACAGAGGCAGAGCCTGCCCACACAGCACTTGACACACAAGCCATTCAGTCAATAGGAAGGAATTGACCCCAAGCCAGTGTCCTAAGGTGAGCTGGTTCCTACTTCCATGCTCTTTTCTCTGTCCTCATGCTTTTCAGACTGAGGTACTTGGACTCACCATAGATGGTCAAGTACCAGGGGGACATACAACCCCAGATTAAATGTTTCTTCCCACAGTGGCCATTTTTCCTGAGCATTTTGGGAAGGAAAACTTTTTTGCTTTAATCAAAGCAAGTAGATTTTGGATTGGAGCGCAAAACTCAAATGAATTTTCAGGGCAAAACTGTGAGGTTTCAGAGAAATTCATCTTTGCTGTGGGTGCCCTTGGGCTATGCCCTGAGCCTCTTAGGGACGGAAATGGGTTGATTCTTTCTGACTCCTGGAGGTGGTTTGAAAATATTTGACAGGCACTTCAGCAAGCGGCCTTTATATGTCATGCCCTTCTCTGTCCTAGCTCTGTGAGACCAGCACGCCTGTGTAGGAAAGAGTTCATGGCATTACTGTGTAAAATAGTTGCTTCGTATTCCTGCTCTTGACTGGAATTCTCTCTTGCACATTTATCCTTGTGCGTGTATGTTGATTTGCCAAGGGAAGTTAGGTTATTGGAGTCCCTACTGTAAATATCTTTCTTTATGGAATACATTGGAATAAGGGTTTCTTTGTAAATTTTATTCTGTAGATTAGCCGTCTGTGAAGTGAGACAAAAGCAATGGAAACCCTGATTTCCCTGCCAAGTTGTGCTGCCCGGGCTGCCAGCACCCGAGGGCAGTAGTAGGGGGTCCTGGACTTGTACGATGAGGGGGTGCTGCTCAGTGGGAGGAGCTGAATGGGGAGCGTCATCAAGCTTTGCCAGCCCAATGCCTTCTTCTTCCCCGTAGACGTCCCCCCACCACGTGAAGATGATTTCTCACAAGAGGACACAGAAGATCTTAAAACAGAGATTCCTGAAGAGCCCAGCTGCTTGGATCAATTGGATCAACCCACAACTAGTGACGTGGGTACCTCAGAAATGTCACAGAAGCCGAATACTGAGAAAGACATACACCCAGGTAAAGCTTGCTGATTTTCTCTACAAAGTAGAGGCTTATTGTAAAGGAGAGCTGCTAGGAGATTCCTTGTTAAAGGCAGGAAATAGAGGGGGAATAATACAGCTATGAATGGGTTTAAAAAAATAAGAAATCCCAGAACTCACAGAGAAAAGCAGAAGTGAAGACGGGTGGAGATCAATAATAGAAACAGGCCAGAGACTGTAACTAAGCTACATGCCAGTGATTGGCTGTCATTAGCTTGTGCAGATAATTTGAATCTAAAATGTTCTTCTTACAAAGCGTTATGCTCCCAAACAGTAGTTTTCAACCAGCCCACAAGCATCAGAAGCTCTGGGGGTGGAGACCAGAAATCTGTGTTTAACAAGCCCTCCAGGAAATTCGGAGCTATTGGAAGTCAAAGTTGGAGAACCACTGCTCTAAAACTCACAAATTCTGTGTTTTCCCCCCATTCCACCGCCCCTCCCCAGTAGAACACATGTCGCTCAGTTCTCTTGTTAATTTGCTACCTGGACAAGATAAAAACTTTTTTAAAACAGTGGAGGAGATATTTATGTCTAGGTGTCTTTATACTATAAGGTTATAGGAAACTGCAGAACTTTTCAGTATGTAATAGTCCACTGTAGACTGAGCACAGAAAACATCCAGTGGGAAAGCAACTCATTTCATTTGAATTGAGAAAGTTGTTTTAAAAATAAAATAAAATAAAATACCACCCCAATAATGATATCAACAGCTTTCTAATTTTTGTGTAGCTTACTCATTTTACCAGTAAATCAGAAGGACAGCTGATTTTTATTTTGTCTGTCCGATATGGTGTTATGACATCATTACTGATGTTGTGTTTTTAGAGATTACGTTCTATAACCTTCGGTATTGCATTAGCCTGTGACACCGTAAGGCCTGGCTGCACTGGGCTGTACCTCCTGCGCCCTTTCAAAGTTTAGGAGAAGTCATGGCAAGGAGAGGAGGTCAGCTAATTTGAGAAGAAATGACATATCGGAGGTCTCCTGTGTTCCAGAGGCTATTACTTTATATATAATACTCTCTACTTCTAAATTTTTGTAACTCACAAAGGTTCTGCTTGTCGAACATGAGTCATACACCATTAAGAACTTGTTATTCTCTTGCTCAAAAACTTTCAGGGTTAGGAAAAATTCTGCTGGCAGAATAGAAAACAGACCTTTTGCCCTGTCCTGTAAGTTCCACTGCAAAATGACGTCAACTACCTGTACAGGCTCATCTTCCCGAGTGTCCCTTCGTGCATCTCAGGGGCTGAGGTCTGACCTGACTGGGAAGACTTCACCCGAGGTCAGAGTCGTGGATCAGGAGTGGATGGGACCTCAGGGTTGGAAGAGACCTGAGAGGCAGCCAGTCCAGCTTCTCACTAATCGCTTCTCGGACTCCTAGCTGTCTATAAGATGTGCCCCAGACCCAGCTAACTCCTACTGAAATCCTCTCCCTACCACCTCCTCCTGTGGAAACCCTTTCAGGTAGAGCTGAAATTCTGCCTCTTCCACAGAGCTGCAAGCCAGGCCCCACCCTGTAAGCAGTTCCTTTTTGTCCCTTTGGCATTTACCATATTCTGTTTTGTGTCGCTGTCATTCCGCCATTCAGTAAGCAACTCTGGAGTGCCTGCAGGTGCCAGACACTGTGCTAAGCACTGGTGCCCCCCGCCTTCAGGTCTGCGAACTTTCTCATTGTTTGCCTGAAGTTTCAAATACACTGCTTCACCACACTAAATAAATGTTTCTTAAATGTGACTGGGTGTTTATGGAAAAAGCATAAAATTCTGCTTTCTCAATTCCCAAGTAAATATTGTTCAGATAGCAGTGGCGTTGCCGGGGCGTGACAGAGGAGACTAGTCAGGGGTAGAGTGGCCTGGAGATATGTTCCTTTTATAATTGAAGGATGTGACAGCTCTAATGGGGACTCCGAATCTTTTTCTATATAATTGTCTTCAGGAGAACCATGTGTCCAGGCACAGTGACTAATATTTCGTGTTCACTCTACAATGTTTAAAATGAAGAGAAACAATTCTTATTCTGAAGCACAAAATAAAACAGTAGTTTTCCCCCCTCAATTTTAGGCATAATTACAACCAAGCGCACTCCTGTCAATGCTGTTGATCCTAGAAAGCAGCAAGAAACGAAGGCTGAAGAAGCGACGAGTGTCACACCTTGGGAAAATGCAATTCTTTTAATATATTCATTCATGTTTTATTTAACTAACATGGTAAGTTTGACATACATAGTTTCTTCAGAGAGTGTTATTACAGTTGTTCAGTTGATTTTGAGCATGAGGGGAGGACTTAAACTGTCTCTATGAACATTGCTCCTGATCCTTTCACGATAGCCCCTGAAACAAGCCACAGGTCTGTGGCTCTGATGGGTTCTTAGTTTGGTTTGGCATTTTTGGCATTTGAAGAGGATTTGCTGTGTGCCAGAGCTGGGCACACATGCCCCTGTAAACGTGGTTCTTCCCTTCAAGAAGCTTCGTCTACCAAGGTGATAGAGACGTTCCCTGGAAACCTAATATGCTATGGGCCGAAAGGGAAGTATTTCCCTGATAGGAGAACGATATGTTGAGTTAATTGATTCACTGTGGTGGGAGGATGCTCCAAGAAGGTCAGAAGTTAGCTGAGACGTGTTCTGAGCAGAGCTGAGGGACCGACGGTGTTTGCTGTGAAGTTTATTGTTGAAGAGAAGGGCTGGTGGAGATGGGGGCGGTGTGCAGTCAGACAGAAGAAATAAGATGTTCAGATGGATGGAGGCGTGCAGAAAAGGTTATCTGGGGAAGCCCGGGGAGGTGTTGGTGTTGTTGAAGTGTAGAGTTAGAGGCGGGTGGTCTTTTGGAGGGAGATGGGCGACCATGAAGGAAGTCGTATATCAGGATGAGTGACGTTAGACTGGGAAGGCTCCTTTGAAGGTTGTAAGCAGGAAAGGGATATGGTCAGATTTGTTTCTTAGAAAGAGTCACTTATGGCAGAATATTTATTCAGATTTATCTTTCTAAAGGGAGTCATGATCCAAATGAGACATTTCATCTGTCTAGAAACTTATCTAAGCTTTTCAGGACTTAGCTCCCCCTTGTGGTACTTGTTGAAATTGGATGTTTTTCTTGATGAATTATGGGAATGAGCAAGCCTCCAGAAACTGGAGGCCGAGTTGCCCTTGGAGCTGTAGAGAAAGTATCTTTCGCCACAAAAATATTTTTTTCCTCTAGATTCTGTTACTTCAAGACTTGTGTAGGAAAGAGGGTTATATTTTGTTCTGTAAAATGCATGAGTCTTGAGCACTTTGAATCCCAGATTCATCACTTAGAAGTGTGGGCAAATTGCAGACTTGGAATCTCAGCGTCTTCATCTTTAAATGCAGACGGTACCCACTTTAAGTGTTGTAAGAGTTAAATGAGTTGCTAACGTGAAGTGTCTAGTGCAGTACCTGTGTTGTGTAGGGTCTCGTCACCTGCCACCTCCTCATTCGGATGGTCAGAGGGCGATATAAAGACATGGAATACCTGGGGAATTCAGGAGAAAGGCCACCAGGATAGGAAAGATGGAGGAAAACCAAACCGTCTTTTAGTTTTCTCCATTGTTGGCAGTGGTGGCAGCCACTGGGGTGAAGTTGTGTCTGACCCGTGCAGTTCGAATAATGAAATTTTCAGTGATTAAGGCAGTCTCAGGAGTGGAATCTGGTTATCAGAATGAGTCATCACTTCAAAAATTCAACAGCCTCCAGATGTGGGAGGAATTCTTTATTCATTTTGTTTGTGGATATGCACAGAGCCCTGTTCTAGGCCTGGGTTGGGGGACACAGATGTGGTATGGGATATGTTCTCTGCTTGATGGGAGAAGACACAGACATGAATGGCAAGAGAAGGGGGGCAGTGTTACAAAGTAGCATTGTTTTGAAAGGTATTGGCCAGAAAGCATTTAGATGGCCCAGTGTGTACAGAGAGTATTGTGCTAGGAATTGAAGATTCCAAGAGGTATAAAGCATAATTCTGGTTTCTGAAAGGCTTAAGAAAAGGACATATCATATATATATGAAAATTAGGAAAATGGGAAACTTGAAATAGTTTTTGTGAACTATCAAATAACTAGTATAGATAATTATTTGATATGGCTGGAGAATAATGGGGTGCTGACTTGATTGGGAAAACTGCACCAGAAGTCAGATTCATAGATCAACAGTTAATGGAATCTTAGGTTGGAAGAGACCTGGTCCAACTTCTCACTAATTGCAGTCATTTCCTCTCCTGTAGCCCCAACAAGTAGTTATGAGGTCTGGGCATCGACAATTCCTAGTGTGAACAACCTGCCCTACAAGGCTAGTCATTGTTCTCTTGGCTAGTTCATTCTTATGTTGACTCCAAATTTTCCTCCATGTGATTTCTTCTCATAGAATCTAATTCCTTTTCTACATAGTAATCCTTTAAATAGTTGAAGTTATGCTGTAATTTTTTAAGTGTTTTATCATGGAAAATTTCGAACATATGAAAGCAGAGAGACTAGTAAAATGAACCCATGGGCCCATCACCCAGCTTAATAGTAATTGCTTAATATCGCCCAATATTTGGCACATTCAAAATCCCCTCCCCTCCTTTTAAAAATTGTTCTTATTCAGATCAGGATCTTCTTGAGGTCCAAATGTTATAATAGGTTGATACACGTCTTAAATCAACTTTAATCAGATATAAATTGCATACAGTCAAACATACACATTTTAGAAATACAGCTCAGTGAGTTTTAGCAAATGTGTACACCCATGTAAAAACAACCAAAACTAAGATATGGAACATCTGCTTCATTCAAAAAAAGTTTCCTCATGTGCCTTCCCAGTATGTCCCCCTCTGCACCTGATCCAACCACTGAGAAAACTTTTTCACTGCAGAGTAGTTTTTGCTGTTGTAGAATTATAGTTATAAATGGACTCATACTTCGGAGTGAAACTGCCCAGTCATATGGTAAGATTGTTTTATCTTACTTAGGAGAAACTGCCAAACAGTTGCCAAAATGACTGTAACATTTTATGAGACTTCCAGTAGGTCACATATTTGCTAACACGTGGTATTACCAGTCTTACATTGTAGCTGTTCCAGTGGGCATGTCTTTATAGTTTTAATTATTCCCTGATGATTTATGGTGGTGAGCACTTTTTCACGTGGCCATACTTCTTTGTGTGTTCATGTGTGAAAGAGTTGTTCAAATCTTTTACCCTTTTTTTTTTTTTGAGGAAGATTAGCCCTGAGCTAACATCTGCTGCCAATCCTCCTCTTTTTGCTGAGGAAGACTGGCCCTGAGCTAACATCCTCGCTCATTTTCCTCTACTTTATATGTGGGACGCCTACCATAGCATGGCTTGCCAAGTGATGCCATGTCCGCACCCGGGATCCAAACCGGCGAACCCCGGGCTGCCGAAGCGGAACGTGTGCACTTAACTGCTGCACCACCAGGCCGGCCCCTCTTTTGCTCTTTTTTAAACTGGGCATTTTCCTTCTAAATATTAAGGTCTAAGAGGTCTTCATATATTTTGGATACAAGTCTGTTGTCAGATATATACTGCAAATAATTTCTTCCAGTTTATGGCTTGGCTTTTCAATTTCTTAACCTTGTCTTTTGAAGAATAAATTTTGATGAACACCATTTTGTTAATTTTTACTTTTATGGTTAGTGCTTTTTGTTTCCTGCCTAAGGAATCTTAGGCAATTCCAGTGATTCAAATATCTTCTCACGTTTTCTTCTTCAAGTTTTATACTTATGCCTTTCATGTTTTGGTCTGTGTTCCATTTTGAGTTAATTTTTGTGATTGGTGTCAAGTTTCATTTTTTCTTGGAATGCATATCCAGTTGCTCCCATGTCATTTCTTTCCCTTTCAAATTACCTTGGCACCTTGAGTTGAAATCAGTTGACCATGTATGTCAATTTCTGGACTCTAATCTGTTCCATCGATCTCTATTGCTATCCTAGGATAATGCCACACTTTTTTGATTCCCGTAGCTTTATAGTAAGTCTTGCAATCGGACAGTTCTCTTGTAAAATTGTTTTGGCTATTTCAGTTCCTTTGCATTTCCAAATAAATTTTAGAATCAGCTTACCAATTTCTACAAAAAAGCATGCTGAGATTTCGATTGTTATTATGTTGAATCTAGAGATGAGCTTGGGAAGAACTGATATTAACAAATACTAAGGCTCCTAATCCAAGAAGTAAGTTCATCTTTACATTCATTTTGATCTTCTTTAATTTCTCTCAACAGTGTTTTGTAGTTGTCAGTGTACAGGTTTTATGTTAGTATTTTATGTATGCCAGCGTATTACATTGTTTTGATGATGTTGTAAGTAGTATCTTTTTTACATTTTATTTACAGTTGTTTTTTGCCGATAGGTAGAAATACAGTTGATTTTTATATATTGACCTTGTGTCTTACTACCTTACTTAATTTACTTATGAGTTCTAGGGTGGATTTTTTGTAGATTTCATAGGATTCTCTGTGCAGATGATCATGCCATCTGTGAATAAACACACCTTTTTTAAAAGTCAAGTTAATTAAAGCATCATAACATCTAGTAAAATTCACCCTTTCTATGTACAATTCTATGAATTTTCACATTATTTCTTCAGATTTTTTTGTGTTCCTCTTCCCTTGCTTCTCCTTCTGGGGCTCTAATGACACATATGTTAGACCACTTTATGTAGTTCCACAGGTCACTGAGGCTCTGTTGTTTTTTGTTCTTGTTTTTCAGTCTTTTTATGTCTTTGCTTCAGTTTATAGTTCCTGTTGCTGTCTTCAAGTTCACCGATCTTTTCTTTTGTAGTATCTGATCTGCTGTTAAGCCCATCAAGTGAATTTTTCATTTCTGATATTTTATTTTTTAGCTTTAAAAGTTCCACTTAGTCCTATTTTATATCTTGCATTTCTCTTTTCATGAGAATGAAGAGAGAAATGGTCATGGGTTTTTTTTTTAATTCTTAAATATAGTATTCATAATAGTGCTGTTAAAGCCCTTCCTAGCTGATTGTATTAAGCCAGCATTAGCATAACAAAACCAAAGACATAACAAGAAAAGCATAGACCGGTATCTGTTATGAACATAAGCACAAAAATTCTAAACAGAATTTTAGCAGATCAAATCCAACAGTATGTAAAAAGGATAATACATAATGACCAGGTATGCTATATCCAAGAATGCAAGGTTTCTTTAACATTAGAAAATAAGCGTAAGTCACATGTTA